CTTTGAACTCAATAAGCAAAGGGAAGGGGGCCTTTTGTTTTTTGTTTTTTTTTTCTTCTTCTACCCCCACCCTTTTATTCTTTTTGCAGTTTAGCAATTTTGTTTTGCATCTTTTCCAGACGGCATTTTGCAATAAAAATGTCTGACTGCCACAGAGAGGCACAAAAGTCAGGGCTCCATCCAATTTCCCGGGCTGCTCTTGGTTTGGGGGGAAGAGGATTTGGTTGTTGCTGAGGGTGAACAATAGGTTTTGTGGGTCCAGTAGGTCAGCTCACAAAATTGGAATTGTCTTTCAAAAAATACGCTGCACACGGTCTTTAAAATGTCATCCAGAGGTGCAACCATAAACTTCCTTTTCCATAATAATTTTTATTATGCCTCAGATCAGGAAACACTATTTCAAGCTCAGTAAGTGGAGCCTTAGGAGTGTTACGTCCGATTGAGCAGTGGGGGGAAACTGCCACAAAATGAAGGTGTTTTTTACAGAATCCCAGAATGGTTTGGGTTGGAAAGGACCTTGAAATTCATCTCGTTCCACCTCCTTGCCATGGGCAGGGACATCTTCCACTATCCCAGACTGTTCACAGCCCCATCCAACCTGGCCCTGGACACTTCCAGGGATAGGTTAGAAGCTCATCATCTCTCAGTGGAAACCAGGCACAGATCTGGGGAGGATTCCAAGCCTGGACCTGTTCCTAGCGATGGAAAAGCAGGCTTTGGAGAGATTGGAATAGCTGAAAAAGAAGAAGGTGTGATATCCATATCTGTGTACCATTATAGCCTTGGAAAGTCACTGCTCTCAGAGAGTCTCTCATTTCATATGTGGTGCCTTGGAAAAGTGTGGCAGTGGGACAGATGGAAGAAACATGGGGAGACCTCAAGGAAGGAGCAGATATTTTCTTACATTTTAGTGTTGTGACACATGGCTTATCCCGAGGTGAGTGGTTTTAGTGTGGACTTGGAAACCCCTTTGCCCAATATAAAACTACAACCCCAGTGAAGGGCTTTCTCCCTATTCACCACTCTTGTGTTATTTGAAAACCCTCAAACTCCAGAATGTTTTTTATATTTCTGTTTTTGATAATCTGAGCCATATCTCTAGCTTAAGGATGGCTCTAGAGCACAGCCATGCATAGGTCAAGGGGTAATGGCTTTAAGCTGAAGGAAGGTGGATGCAGATTGGATATTGGGAAGGAATTTTTCCCTGGGAGGGTGGGAAGGCCCTGGTTGCCCAGAGAAGCTGTGGCTGCCACTGGATCCCTGGAAGTGCTCAGGGCCAGCTTGGACATAGGCATCAAGGTGAAGCCAGCATGTAGCCTGGGTTCAGCTTGTGACTTCTCCAGCTTTGAGGACCATCATAGTGATGCACAGCTGTAAATTCAACAACTGCTGGCGTTCAGAATCCAAAGAGGCCCCCAAAACAGCGGTGTCTCTTTTTGGTAGGCCTGTTTAGAAAACACGATCATACCCATTTGCTCAATTTGCATGTCTGAAAGGCTTCTGCTCAGTTAATTGGTTAAATTAATTTCTGCTGTTGTAAACAGAGCTGCTGTATTAAGAGCAGAACTAAAGTAATTTTACTTTACATTATTGTGTCTTGGCGCATCGTTCCTTTCTTACTCAAGGCGATTCATTTTGTGGGGCTGTCAAGTAATGTTTGGTGTCATCTTCAGTCAATGCAGCTTTTCTGATTTTCCCCTGATATTTTAACAGTTTATTTAGTCCTGTAGATAATGGTCAATGGCCTTGAGTAGTCAAATTAACACTTGGGTGGCGCCGTAGCTGAGCGGTAACCCGGGGTCGAAAAGGGATGAGAATCGACGTGGGGAGCGCGTTTTGGGGGATTATGGATTGATGGATGTGGAGACAGCGTCGCCCCGCTCTGACTAAGATGGAGCTGCCAGTGAGTGCTGACTGCAGGCCATCACCTGCCTGGTGTCTCAGCAGCTCGGGGCTGGAGACCTCGGGTAGCCCTCGGATCCCGGGATCGGCAGAACGTTCCAGCTGCCGGAACCGGAGACGGCGCCGATTGGATTCAATCCTGTTATTCCTGTAGGGATCTCTTTGGGACAACGGAGGCACTAATGGCTGGTGTCCCCCCTGCCCTGGGAGGAGGGGGAGCCGTGTTAAGCCGTGCTGCTGGCAGCGAGCTGCGAGCTCCGGTCCCCCCGCCACAACTCTCAATTGCTAGCAGGTTTCTCTCACTGCACCTCATTTGCATCTGGGACATCAATTAGCATGTTTGTTGAGGCTAATTGAATGAAACTCAATCATAGCTCTTAATTGCTTGACTATGTGAAAAGAAATCACATTAATGCAGCTAATTAAGTGTATGGCAATAGATGCAACATAATTAGGAGCGAAATGTAAAAAACAAGCGACGGCGGAGGGTGTGGGGGATCGGGGCGCCCGCGTCTCCTCTGTGCCACATGTTTGGGGAGGGGTCCCTCTGCTTTGCTGCTGGCTTTAATTTTATTTTTTTTTATTATATTTTTCTCCCCTGCCTTGCTGAATGATGAACGTGGGCAAGTTGAGAAGAAAAATGCAAATGGATTCGCAATTACTACTTTTTCAAGCTGTTGAGGGGCAGAAGATGGCACGTCTGGGGTGGCCCACTGTTGAGTGGGCTCTAGGGACTTGTTAAGTGCTGTTTAAAAGTACTTGGCTTTGAATTACCCTCATGCCTTGTTAAAGGGTTTTTTTCCCCTTTTTTCTCGGATCAGCATTTTCTACAACTAACATCTCGGGGAGTTATCCCTGTACCATTTGCATATCAAAATCCAGCTTGCTGTCTTCTCTTTAACACAGCATATTCCAGATGACAGCAAGACCCTCATCTGTTCTAATCTGATCAAACCCTCCATTGCGCTTCTGAAGCCTCGGCATCATTTTGTAGTTTGAACTTTCCTTCCCCGAGCGGGGATCTGACGGGGCTGGGAACGCGGTCCTTGCCCTCCCCTCCTCGGGGAGACCCGCAGATTATCGCCGTGCATCCTGCACACGATGAAAGGCCCTTTATTATTTACATTTGATATATCCCCATAAATATTTAAGCTGACATTAATACCTACCCGGCATCTGTTGTTGTTCCGGGCGCGTCGCTCTAACGGCGCCTGCAGCGCGTTGGTTTTGTGCTTGTCGACCCTCCCTCCCTTCCTCCACTGGTTTTGGGGCTCACCTCAGCCTGCTTTACCCCCAGTTAAAAAGACCTTCAATAACACCCTGCCACATCTCAAGTTGGGAGATCACACCCACCCTTCACCCAAATTGGATCCAAAACCCCCTTCTCCAGTTGAAGTTGGTTGTATATTAAATAAAACTATTAGAAAAGAGCACGTGCCGAGGTTTAGTCACTCTCTGATTAAACCTCACTTCAGAGCCCACAAGCAATAAATGCTCAATTATCTTCTGTTTATTGTATTTTAATTTGTGAAGAAGTGACACCCAAACAAGAAAGTGCTGCCAGGTTCATAATTTATGGATGAAAGTTGTTTGTTCTCCAGCACCTAGTAAAGGAATTTTCCTGAGTGGATTGCCTTTGTTTTTCTCTTGGCAGCAGAGCTCTGTGTCCTCTCCCCACAAATTGTTCAGACCTCACCTTTTCTTGTTAATAATTCTCACAGAGCTTGGGAAAAATAAGCTTCCTTGATGGCTTAGTTTGAGGGTTTTATCACTGATTTCTGTTAACTATGAAGAAATTATTGCTGCTCCAGATTTTTGATGGGTTTTGAGCGGAAGAAATAATTTGTGTTGTAAAAACTGCCAAAGGTGAAAGAATCTTGATGAGGGAGCAATCAGCTCCCTGGATTGTGGCAGCAGTGATACAGATTTTGGGTGAATTCAGGAAATTTCTTTGGAAATGGGAGCCCAGATCTTCTCCCAGCCACCTCAAATCACTGTTTTTTCTCTTGGGGTCCTTAATCCCAGAGTCCTAGAATGGTTTGAGTTGGAAGGGACCTTAAAGCTCATTTCATTCCATCCCCTGCCATGGGCAGGGACACCTTCCACTATCCCAGGCTGCTCCAAGGCCCGTCCAGCCTGGCCTGGGACACTTCCAGAGATCCAGGGGCAGCCCCAGCTTCTCTGGGCAGCTTTTTGTGCAGTGCTGTTGCCCCTTTTCACCCCTGATTTTACTCTCCTGTGCTGCCCCTCTTTCATATCCCCTTTACAAGAGTGTCTCTTTTGTTGCTTTTCATGTCCTCATAATTGTTCCAGTTTCAATTATTTTTTTCTGGAATGTGAGTGACCACAGCCCTGTGTACCAGGAGATGAGAACTTAGGTGTCTTGTGTACTGACTTTACCATTCGCCATCTCTCCTGGAAATACCTGTGCTGGTGTATCCCAGGATCAATTTGCCCTCTGATGAAAACACCCATGTCCATTTGCTTTCCTGTTTATTTCCCCTTTGTGAGCTTTCCAAGCAAGAATTAGCAAAAGCCTTTTCCATTTCTGGCTCCCAGTGTTTGCTCTAATCAGATGCAATTTGCATGATTTTTTTTCCCCCTTTGATGATGTTTTGGTTAGGTTCAGGAAGGGTCATGTTCTAAGGAAACAAAGTTGGGATTACTGAAACCTTCCCTGCTGGTTCCCTTTTGTAACTTTGGTGCCTGCTGACCCATTCCAGCCAAATTTGGGGAAGGAGATGGGGGCATAAAGCACTGGCAGAGAGGGGACACAAGTCAATGTGCTCAGCAGGGATACTCAGCCTTGTCTTCTACTGTTTAGGACCTTTGGCTAGTGAGTTCCCACTCATGGCTGTGTTGTGAATCACCTCTTGCCCAGCTGGTAGTTGGAGGATCCATGAGAAAGCTCCAGACTTTTGGGGTTAATTGTGAGAAGTGTGGAAGGGATTATCAGGAACATGGAAGGAAAGGAAAAACCATATGGTGGGTGCTGGCAGAGGATGTAGGGCCAAAGCCTTGTGAAACCAGGTTTATTAATCCTGGTTAACATCATCCCTGTCTGATGTTGGGTTTGGGGTTTTTTCCTCTCTTTGCAGGATTACATGCAGAACGTTCACGGGAAAGAGATCGACTTGCTGAGAACCACTGTGAAGGTCCCTGGGAAGAGGCCACCCCGAGCCACATCAGCCTGTGCCCCCATCTCCAGCCCCAAAACCAACGGCCTCTCCAAAGACATGAGCAGTTTACACATCTCTCCAAATTCAGGTAAGAGAAGACCTTGCCAGGGGGGAAAAAAATGGCAGAAAGCCTGCATTTCCAGTGTTTGTAGGGAATTACCCTCAACAGCTGGGACAGGGATGGATATCTCAGTAACTGGAAATGGCCAGGCTGGTGCTGCTCAGAGCAACCTGGTATCGTGGAAGCTCTCTGAGCTTTAGGGTCCTTTCCAACCCAAACCATTTTGGGATTTACAAACCCACTGATGGGGAAGTTTTTAAGCCCTGACTATTCATCTGTCCCCCAGGAGAGATTCTGAGTTTCTGAGCTGCCTTCAGTGTCTGTCTTTGTGTATTTGTTACCTTGTACGTGCCAAAGCCCTACATAATTTCACAGTAATTAACATATGGGAGGAATTTACAATCTCTTACCTAATACTCTGGGAAAAGCAAATGCTGTATGATCTGAAAGGGCTTTTTATGGCTTCCTGGTGAGATCCACAGCCCTTCTTCCCACTTTTGGAAAGTTCAGTATTATGCATTCTCCTAACAGCAAGATTCTTCTTTGGAAAGCTGTTTTAATTTATTGATGGAAGTGGTTTATAGCTCCTTCTGAGCTCTAAACAAAGACGTTTATTGTTTGCTGAAGTACTTGTCCATACAGCTAAGTGGATTTAAAAAAATTGCATTAAGGGAAAACATTTGAGACAATTTATCTTGTAAAATGCACAGCTTGTACAAAACCCATAATGGTCTAGTGGAAGTTCTGTCAGCATGTTTGGGATGACATCCATAAAATGCCAAGTGCCTTTTGCATTTGTGGGTAATGTAGACACCTCCTACATGTGCCAGAAAAACCATCCCCACACTCCTGTCCCTGTGCAAAACTCACTGGGATGAGCAGCCCTGGGATTCCTGGATATTAAGGTGTCTTCTCTTGGATGATAATAATTATCTGTCTCATGCTTCATAGAATCAGGCTGGTTTGGGGTAGAAGGGACCTTAAATATCATCCAATTTCAACCCCCAGTCCTCCAAGCCAAAGTGTAATTCCCTGGTTTTTTTAGGCATTCCTCTTTATTAGGGGAAGACAGGGAAGTTTTTTTCTTTCCAGCTCTGAATGGTATTGTTTGAGGTGGATTTTTAAAGTGATGCCACTGAGCAGACACCCCTGGAAATCTTGGCCAGGGACCTGAGGTGTCTGAAGCCATGATTTTATAAAACTCTTGTTTCAGGTTGTGACTTGGTGCTGGAAGAGTTCATGTGAGAAAATTCTTCATGGTTAGGTTTTTTCCAGTTGACTATATAATTACATGACTAGGTGTGAGGAGTGCTTTGGTTTTCAATATACTTCCTAATTTAGGGCAGAAAAGTGCTGGACTAAGTCAATAAACTGCAGGTGAGACATTTAAATAAAGATATTTCAGTTTTTAACACACTTGAACACAGTCAAAAATTACATGGTAGCTTCAGAGAAGCACGTTTCTGGAAACACAGTTAGAGATATGTAAGAATTTAAGGTTTATAGCATGGAATTTACAAGTTTTGGCATCTACTAGGATTGCCAGGTCAGAGGGAAATTTTCCATGCCAGTTCACAGCAGGCAGCTCCCACTGTGTGTGTGTGTGTTCTGGCCAGCCTGAGGTACAGAAAGAAGTCAATTATGCCAGAAATTCCAAATGCTGGGAAGTTTAGATAGTGACTTACAAGTAACACTGTGGAAACAGTTGGAGCTTCTCTCCTCCCTCTTGGCTTTTTCATCCTCTTGCTTAGAAATACCGCAAGATTTTGCTTTTGTTGATGTCTGGCCGGCATCTGCTGCTTGTTATTGGCTCAAAAGCAAACATAAAAAGGAGCTGCTAATCAGGTAAAAATGATTTAAAAGAAAGAAAAAGAGGGCACTGTCCCAAGCTGTGCCTGCCTGATGTGGTCAGGGACAGTGGTCACAGCTCCTGATGGGTGGGAGACGTGTAGGTACTCGGGGCTGAGTTCTGCAGTGCCAGGAGAACACCTGAAATCGCTGCAGTTATCTGCCATGCAGCTCAAAACACCTGCAAATGATCCCTTGCAGGCTGTGCTGCGGCCTCAGAGCTTCCCCTCACTTGTTAGTGCTGGGAAAAGTGGTGTCTTGAGCCTGTGTGATGCTTTTAAATTGATCACAGGGCTGAACTTGTCACTTACTGGTTGTCACTGGGAGGTTTTTGTACAGGCTCTGCCACATGGAGGAGGTTTAGACTAAACAGGAGGAATCAGAACTTGATAATTTGATTTTTAGGCCTGTAAATTGGCTGTACTTTCTCTGCTTCAGGTTACCTCTTCCCCAAAACAGTTAAATGCTGCTTGGCTTGGTTGATGCCTTCATTTGACACTTAAACACTCCTTGGAAGGTGCCCCTTAAGGCTGCATTTCAGTGCCAACTTTGCCAAGAAATCTCTTAATTAAATGCCTATTTGATTGCCTGTAACTGATATTTTAAGTTCATGTTTCAGCAAATAGTTTTCTGTGAGTGTAATTTCTTGCAACTCAACCACTCTTGTGATCCTCCCACGGTCTGTGAGCAGCTCGAGCTCCTCCTTCTTCTCATCCCCTTCCCTCTCTAAAGCATTTTTGGACCTCAGTGATTGATCAGACACCTTTAATTTCCTCCCACATGGGGAGGGTCTTTCCCAAGGTGCTTCCCATAGCAGTGCTGTGAGCAGAATAGAGGGAATGAGGCTGGTCAGGGCAATATTGGGAATTCAGGAGGGGCAAACTCAGTTCTTTGGCACTACGAGTTGCAGCAGCCAAGCAGCAAGCACAGGGTTTTCTGTTGGATTTACCTGACGTAGGTGCCACACACAGAAGGGAAAGTTTAGGAGTCTGTCATTCCTATCACATGGGATTTTGTCACACTTTGGGGCACTTCTGAGCTGAACAAGATTGTTTTTCTGATTTTAAAGACTTGGACAAACAGACATATAAAACCATCTCTCCATGACAGCTCTCCTGATCCATAAATGTCTTTACATCCCAAGCTTCTGGAAGGAGGTGTCTCTGGGAAAAAGTCATCTTAATAACAAAGGCCAAGTTCCAGTCCTTGAGAGTTTGTGTTTCAGAGATGTAAAAAAAAATAAATAAGACCTTGATGAGAATACACAACTTTAAAAAACTCCTGATTACTCTTCCCTGCTGGGTTTTCAAGGCACAAGGGCTTGGAAAAATACTTTTCCCTTGACATCAAGTCACAGTCCATTGTCACAGTCATGGTGGGACAGTGAACAAACTGGAAGTGAAACAGCAGCAGGAAAAAGGAATATTTTCTGTGCTCTGTCAGAAAGCAGGGAAAGGAGTAGAAGGTTGGGCTGCTCCTGCTGTTGCAAAGCCAAGCACCTTGCCTGGAAAAAGGTTGACTTTGATTTGAAAACTGATCTCTTCTTGGGTTCTTGGAGGTGCAGTTTGGGGTTCATTGTGTAAGAACTGGGATTCTGTGTGGCAGCTTCTCCCAGAAAACACAGAGAGATGCAGGATTGTTTCAGTTGTGTTATTTATGTTGCAGAGATTTTAAATAACAGGCTGTTAACTGTGGCTTTAGGGAAGGTGTTCACACTTGTAAGCTAACTTGGTAGGAATCTGTGCACTGGGGGAAATGGATGTTTACTCCCTTTAGTATAAAATTATGTCACTTCTGTGGTATTTTCAATCCAAACTGACAAACGATGCTGAAGTAACTGAAATTTAAATTAAATTTACATGGCACTGAGCATCGTTCTGCTGATGCAGCTCAGTTGGATGTCCTTCAGAAAAGGGTAATTCTTGGACTTGCTCAGTTCCAGCTTTGTTTTCTAGCTGGGAGCAGGGCCAGAGTCCTGTGCATCCCACTGGCCAGCCTCTCTGCCCTTTAGGAGCTGGCTCAGCCTGACTTTGGAGCCAGGAGTGGGTCCAGGTTTCATTCACTCCTGAATTGGGTTGGATTTGAGCTGCTTGACCTGAAGGTGAACTTATTCCTGAAATCTCTCCCAGGAGTCATTTATTTCTTCTCCTCTCCAAACAACCCAAAGCCTGAGCTGTAGCAAGAGCCACTGATGTAGAAAGTTCACGTCTAAAAATAGCTTATGGTGTAGAGATAAATTGTTTCCTGATTAACACTTCATTTAAATAATTTGGTGCTATTAAATTTCTTTAAAATGGGGACTGTACAGTATGTGAAGAATCCCAAAATGTGTTAGTTCGAGGGCCATCGTTAAGTGTGCTGAAGGTTGTTATCTGCTAACTGCTTGTGACATTTCAGATGCTGCAAGAACAGCAGCTCCACGTTCTTATCACTGTGAGGTTCCTGTCTGTTATTAATTGTGATCATCTATCAAATCCTCGGTGTTTTTTGTGGATCATGTAATAATCTTTCTTAATTGGGGGTCACTGTGAGGATTCAGATGTTACAGTCGGACTGACGATGAGGAAAAATGTTTCTCAAGCCAAGAGTTCACTGGAGTGGGCAGTTTTTCCAGAGCCTGTGGACCTCGGGTTCCTATGCAAATAAATGAACTGAACTCAGTTCTGGAATCTGCTCTGAATTCCCTCCTTGGAGGTGACCTGGTGTGGTTCCCACAAGGCCAGAGGTTGGTGGTTGGGAGTTATTTATCACCAATTCTGGAGCTGGCCGAGGGACATAAGTGACTTCACACAAAACTTCCCGCACTTCAACTTCAGCGTGATTTTTATGCATTTGCCAGAGATCACAAATGCAAGTTTGTGACTTACTTTGTCATTAATCATCCCAGTCAGTTTTCCATCTTGGTGGCTATGCTGTTGGTTCAGTGATATACAGCTGCAGTGGTGGGAAGGAAAAGTTGGCAGTTTGCTCGTTTCAAAGGAAAAAAGCCCAATTTCAAGTGCATCCGAGATTTCCCTTTCATCCCACTAGAGGGGGATCCCTCAAGGTCATTTTCTCCATTTCCTTTGGACTAGGATTTGCCCCTTCCAGAACTAGAAAAGCACAAACTTTTACTGTTAGCACCCAATATTCCTTAATAATGGGAGAAAGGGAGCAGGGGACATATTAGCAATAATGAA